CCCACAACTACTTTCTGGCTCTTTGCTGCTTGGAATGCTTGAATTAGAAGTCCCGCCAGGCGGATACCCAGCATCCTTGCAGAGCATTATGGGTGACCAAGTCAGCGCCTGCGTATTGTATGCTGCACAGTAGCAGGCAACATGGTGAGGGGCACATGAAACGGTCCAGCGGGCCAGGTTCGGCCTACGGGCCTTGCATTTGACACGTGTTGTAGAGCATCATTTTAAAGAAGTTAGGAAAGTTGTGCGCTGCTCATACGGAGAAAGTCACACTGGAATAAAGTATTCTGGTGGGTTACGTTTCTTTGAAATGCCCCTTCAAGAGATGGATTCACACGTTGCCACCTCCCTAGACAGGTCTTTTCATATCTTGCCCGCATGAGAGCAATACCACCGGTTGGAAAGCCAGTGAGGTGATAAGACTGCCTCCCCCCGTATGTTATCCACTCCTTGCACTCCTGCAGACACTGACCGATGTCCCAGCAGACGGACCCTACTCTGCTGTTATGTTTCCATTCAGAGGAAGCTCTCGGCTACCAGAAATCCTGGCAGTGCAGATGTTAAAAAAAGCTTCCTTACAGCTAGACCTTCTACCAAGTTGCTGGACTCCAATGCCCGCCATCCCCGTACACTGTGGCCAATGGGAAAGGCTATTTTTGTAGTAGAATTACAGCACTCGCTTCTGGGACAGATTTCAAATCAGTTCCTTAGAAGAGGCAAAGGACGTAATGTTTCTGAACACAGGTATCTCACATTAAGAGAGAATCAGAAAAAGGATGAGATACGCATCATCCAGAGTTCTAAGACAGCTAACTCTTCTCTACGCAAGGGACAGAGGGAGAACCGGCTAAGACCTGAGCATCTTGCCATAAATGCAGCGTCACAGAACTTGGCTACATGTTTTTTTTATGAGCCAGCTGCGTTGACACATGGATCCTGCAAACACAATAAATATGCCTGTTTTTGCCAAGTGGTCTTTGGTTTCTCTCTGTCCAAGGACAGAAAGCAAATAACTTCTATCGGGCGACAGACTATTAATTTCCAAACAAGTTGCAGCGAACGGAGGTGATGCCATAATGGTACCGGGGGCCAAAGGAAGCAACGCTCTATATGGCAAGAGTAGCTGCTGCCGGGTAGCGATAGTGTCTCTCCAGCAGATGTGGCCTATTCAAGACCTGAAGCCGCTGTGGACCTAAAAGCCTACCCCGATCTCCCCCATGGTTCTCACTGGTCGATGCTGGTGAGACAGTAGGATAGTGCTTGGAGGAAGCCGACAAGAAGGGATGTGGTCTGCAGCCTACAGTCCTGTTTCTCATGGAAAACCATCTCCTCTCCCGTCGAAGGCAGGGTTTGCTTACCGATGGCGCGCCTCCTGCATTTTGGGGATTCTTCCTTTGTTACACCGTTCAGCGTGGTCCCTGATCTTCCGGGTAGCATTCTCAGGAAGCCAGAGGGCACCTGCTGTAAGGGGGGGGAGGCGGTCAAGACAGAAGCCCCGTTCCACCAGCTCCCTAACTGTTGCACCTCTGTCGGCATTCAACCTGTACAAGTCATATAATCTCTTTACAAATAGATAATATGTGGTGATCAACACTGCATTCCAATTTCATTTTAATCCCAGCTGAGTTGGGAAGAACGGACTGGGATTTCAAGGGATAAAAGACCAACCGATTCTTTTTAAATAATGAGGAATCGGTGGTTTCTCTCCACCTTGGATTAGAAAGACAAGCCAAGAAAAAGTTTGAATGGCTGGTCTCCTGGGTCGCCTTCGCATTTGCAGGATCAGCTGGTCAAGGCGACAGACTACACACCCAGTCAGTCAGTCCTCTGGCTCATTTCTTTTTTGACACCGTGGAATGATGTGAGCAAATTGTGTTAATTATGGCAACACAGACAAGATTGCGCCGTAGATCATACAATCACTCAAAAGAGTCCTGAATCATGCCCGGTAAATCCGTGGTTTTTCGAAAGCAAAGCAAAGCAAAGCCACCCCCCTCCAGTCCAGAAGAGCTGCCTGTGATGCTGAAACAAAGCATTTCCAAGCCTTCATCGGATTCGTGCTTGCTTGTAAAGCAACAGCTTCGTGGCTCATGGCTACGCCCGTTCCATTGCATTGATGCACACCCTTATTTTTTTTCCTTTGAAGTCCATCTTGGAAGCACCAGAACGGTCCAGGGCGAAGCGGGCTAGGCTGCAAGGATCTGCTTTCCTAGATGTGCGGGAAACGGTAATTCAGTTTTCTTGTGCCGCAGAAGTATTTTTTATTATCCAGAGCAGGTAAAATGTTACTGCTGGTTAACTGGGGAAGATACTGCAACTGAAGCAAAGAATAAACAGTTACTCCACTGGCAGGTCAAGACCTGTTTGATTTAGAGGAGGATCTGGGGGTAATTTACTGCCTGCTTACAAAGCACGAGGGGTGCCGTGCTCTAATCTTACAGTGTGTTGATTATGTTTTAATGACATGTGTTTTCGTTTTTATCATCTTCTTTTCATCCACCTTAATTCCCAGTTAGGGAAAGAAGGTGGAATATAAAGAAATGTACAGTGCCGACCCTTTGATCCATCGGGGATTAGTTCCCACCCTGCCCCACTGATGCTGAAAAATGTGGTTCGTAGTCAATGCTATTGTCATGGGGAATGCTCTTCCAGGCATGGTCTCAGACGTCCTCTAGTGGCCAGTTCTGGGAACTTCATGGTTAAAAATTATTTTTATATATGGGATTTTAGTTTTAATATTTGTAATATTTTCAGACCACGGATAAGTGAATATGTGGATACGGATCCCATGAGTAAAGGGAGGTCGTGCTGTCTACAAATGTACATAAGTAACTCATAGGAAGGCAGTTTTGCAGACCTCTGAGTAAAGGGCCATGCAGGGGGTTCCGAAAAGCCGCGGCTACACACACACGTGAACCGGACGGGTGGGGGCTTGGGAGTCTGTGCCTGTCATTGGGGACCTGGGCTGAGTGGGCCCCGTAGCTGCCTTTAAAGCCTTGGGCTGGAGAGACGAGATGACCCCGGATCCTCTCGTGCCCGCAGCGCCAATGAAACGGTCTAGCCTTTAACTTTTCCATGAGGCTCGGCCAGATATTCTTTCCTGCGCGTGGGCACTTCTCCCTAAAGGGCCTCTACTAGGTTCAGAAAGGGGCTTCTGCAGAGTCACACACGGAGGGTCCTGTAAGGGCTCAGCTCCGTTTCACGTGTGAACGCCAATCTCCTCCCTGGCGTGCCCGGCGTCCCCTTATCCCAGGACCTTACCCCAGGAACGGGCTTCCGAGCGGGCCGGGTCGGCTTGCGCGTCATGGACCTTTCACGCTCCCTTCCCAGCTCGACGTCCCGGATGCTGTCAAAGTAAGGGTGCTGAAGCAGCTGCTCGCAGGTCAGGCGCTCGGCGGGGTCCATGTGGAGGCAGCCCTGAAGGAAGCAAAAGGGAAAGAGGGTGGCGAGCGCCCAGGAGACGCGCGGACTCGGGGAAAAGGAGGGCGGAAAGCTCCCAAAAGGGGTGGCCCTCTGAGGCTGGACCGGACTTGCTACAGAGGCCGGAACAGGAAGGGGAGCTGCGTGGTGGGAGCTTCTTGCAGGGCCACCGAAAATCACCTCGTCCGGATGAGGCTCCCAACACCCAAAGGTTCCTTGAGCTGCGTCAGAAACATTGCAACCTGAGGATTGTTATTCATCAAGAGCACAGAGGACCCTTGTCTCCAGAGTCCTGCCCAGTACACCACGCTGGGAAGAGCCGTTCCACTCAGTACACCACGCCAGGAATCCCCGGGGCTGCCTGAAGGTGCTTCCATTGGCTTTGTGAAGGTGGAGAGCTGCCAAATAAAGCATCCCCTGACTCAAAGGTCCTGGCTTTTTAGAGAGATCAAATACCAGAGGGGTGAAAAGGCCAGTCCTCCGCCCTCCTTCCCCATCTGAGGCACTCTTTCGATCGTGATTTATTTCTGTAAAAGAGACGTGGGGGAGATGTGGGCTGACTGTGAAGTGAACGGGAGTCCAGGACGGAGTCAGGAGGCCAGCCGCCAAGTCCCCAGTGGGCCTCTTGCCACGGAGCCACACCAGAGAACAAGGATTTGGAAGAGGCAAACTTTTACATACACCTTCCTCCAGGCGAATGTCACAAAATGTGACCAAATTTGGGAGGGAAGATTTTTTTGGGGGTGGGAGGGAAAGGTGTAAGATGAGCAAGCTGTCTCAAAAGGCCACAGGCTGTGTGTTAAATGCATCCCCCCCAGGTTGCATTTGAAGCTTTTAATTCTTGCAGTTAAATTTTTATTTTATTTATTTGATTTGATTTATACCCCGCCTATCTGGCCCGCCAGACCACTCTAAATCGGATCTTCTGTTGACACAAGGACCTGTGTAGGTCTCCGCACAAATATGTTGCTACCTGTGCTAATTGAAAACCAGCGGCACTTCAGGCAAATCAATCTTGTAATCTTACAACGGCAAAGCTGGAAGAGACCCCGTGGGTCAGTCCAGTCCCCTGTCAAGGATGCCCAGTGGGAGGGGGGAATTCGAACTCCCAACCTCTGCTCTGCTGCCAGGGACCTAAACCCCCTCTGAGCTCTCTTGCAATTCCTGCTCACCTTCATGAGTCCTAGGGCTGAGTAAGAAATTGAAGGGAATTTCATTTCTAGAGGCTCCTAGGAGAGAAAAGAAGAACACTTCCGTTAGCAGAGGGGCACCCCAAATGGCAATTTTATCCTGGCTTTGGAATGCCTCGTTCTCTGAGGTCTGCAGGAGAACTAGAACCAGCATCTTAAACTAGCAACACACAC